TCCCACACCAGAGATCCCGCGTATTGAAAAAACAAAATGGATCTATTTCGCAAATTTCGGCCCCTAGGGGCCCTCGCCGAGCCTAAGGACCGTAACAAAAAACTACTCATGTTGACAAAACCGGTCCTGGGGATTGGGTCAAGACTTCCGGGGACCGCGTATGGAAAAAACACGACATCGGATCTCTGGGGCCCTTTCAATGGTCTTACCTAGCTTCCGCCATACTCCTCACCCATCCACTCAAACCCGTCCCCAAGACTGTGAGGTAAGGCTGCGCCCGCCCGCCTCGAATCGAGGATAGGGCATGCTTTTCTTGCATGCCCAGAGAACCTCATCCACTGCAACCACCGGTCCAGGGCCGAGACCCTTACATCGAACCCCTGGCAGCAAGGAGCTCACTGGAAGAAGTTGGGCTAGACCTCCTCTGCAGCCGTCCCCGTTCCCATCCGTCCGCCCCCCGCCCAGCCCTCCTGCATGAGCCTGTCAACCTTCAGCTGGAGGTCTCGGTTCCGAGCCTCCAGCTCGCTTATCCTCAGTGGGGGCCAGGGGGGGGGCGGGCGGCGGCAGTGTGAGTCCGCCCTCCTCCTCTCTTCCTCCTTGTCCCCCTTCTTCCCTCTCCCTCAATCCGCGCACACGCGCTCTCGCGCGTGTCGACGCGCGGGGGGGGGGGGCGGCAGCAAAGCGACGGTGGAGGGGGAGAGAAACTTAGAGAGAAGGAACAAGACAGAGACAGAGAGAGAGAGAGAGACAGACAGCCAAACAGACAGGATGAATCAGCCTGGCGAAGAATCCAACCATATGCAGTTGTGAATGCCGAGGTTGTGGGCGTCGTTTTCGGTGAAGCTCCTCATGGGTCACGAAACGCTGCACTGGGTGGGGGAAGCGCACGCAAGCTTTGCCATTGGGGTTTTCGGTGGAGTTCCCTATGGGCCACGAGGCGCTGCACCGGGTGGTGGAAACGCATGCGAACTTTGCCACTGGCCACGAAACGCTGTACTGGTGGGGGCGACGCATGTGGACTGTGCCACTGGGGCATTCGATGAAGTTCCCTGTGGGGCCAGGGAGCGCTGTACTGGGTGGGGGAGACGCAGGTGGACAGTGGTATTGAGGCCTCCGGTGGAGATCCCAATTGGGCCGCGAAGCGGGTAGGGGAGGCGCACGTGGACGGTGCCCCCAACGCCGTCGGTGGACCTGCCTATGGGGCCAAAATGCTGTGCTGTGTGGGGGAGACGCATGCGGACGGTCCACTGGGGCCTTCAGTGGAGCTCCCTACGGACGAAACGCTGTACTGAGTAGGGGAAACGCATGCAGAAAGTGCCATTGAGGCCTTCGGTGGAACTCCCCATATGGCCACGAAGCGCTGTAACTGGTGGGGGAAACGCATGTGGACGGCGTCGTTGGCGCCGCCAATGAAGCTCCCTATGGGGCCACGAAGCGCTGTTCTGCATGGGGGAGACGCACGCGGGCGGTAGCAATGGAAACTTCCGTGGACCTCCATGTGTGGCCACGAAGCGCTGTGCTCGGGGGGGACGCATGCGGGCGGTAGCACTGGGAGATTCGGTGGAGCTCCCTATGTGGCCACGAAGAGGCACTGGGTAATTAGGTGGGGCGCGTGCGGGCGGTAGCACGGGGCCTTCGGTGGAGTTCCCTCTGGGGTTACAAAACGCTGTACTTGGCGGGGGGGACGCATGCGGGCGGTAGCGCTGGGGCCGTCGGTGGAGCTCTTTATGGGGCCACAAAGCGGTGTGCTGGGTGAGGGGGACGCATGCGGGCAGTAGCATTGGGGTTTTCGGTGGAGCTCCCTTTGGGGCCACGAAGCGCTGCGCTGGGTGGGTGGGGCGCTGCGCTTGTCGGTGGCGCAACCTCCTCAACCGGCCAGGAGGTCCTGGGTGGGGCATCGTGCAGCCTCCGGTGGCGTTTCCTGCCGCCGCCTTCCCTCAACCGCCTCTGGCAGGCGTCGCACGCTCAGAAACGCTCGCCCGGCTCCGCAGGGCCACATTTTTTCTCCGGCACGCGCTGACCGAACGTGGCGCAGCATAAAAACGCGCCCATAGCGCCGAGGCGCCGTGCCCAAGACAGGCCATATGCACCGATTTGGGGGGGAGGGCCGCCGTGACCCCAGCCAACACAGGGGAGTGCGCAGCAGCGGGATGGTGGGGGGCATTGCCTCTGCGAGCGCCACCGGCAACGCTCACCTCAGACCAGGATGTGCCACTGACCACTTTGTACACCTAGCGGAGCGGGTGGGCCCAGGCAGCACGGCTTGCCCACCGTGGCGGGTACTCTGAAACTTCCCTGGCCTCACGGCTCCGCCGGGCCACTTGCCCTGCGGCCTTTGCTGCTCGGCGACCGCGCCTGGCCACTTCCACGGCCAAGCGCCTCGGTGGCCTGCCGGCTGCGTCGTTTGCGCAGGACGCCGGGCTGACCGCCGTTCTCCACCCCCTGACCTGCTGCTCCCGCAGCTAGGCGCCCCCGCCCCGCCGAACCTGTGGCTGGGCGTTCCCGCCACACCCAGCTGTGATGCGTACACCAGCCTGGTCAGCCCTCATTCCCCCTCTTCTCGCCATGGCTGCCGCTGCCGAACTTGTCAGGCGGCGGATGGCAATTCTTCGCCGTTCGCGCCACCTGAGCAATTGGCCTTCTCAGCAGCCCGCAGCATCTGTCCTCAGTGGCGTTGCAACCAAGAGGTTCGCAGCTGTCCTGCAGCCTGGCCATCAGCTGTTCAACTCGGAAGCTCTGCATCATTTGCCTGCCGCGAGCGACTCGCTGGCCAGCCCCCATGGTCCTGGCCTTTTCGCATCCTGCTGCAACCGTGCCACAGGAATGCCTGGGAGGCACGGCCTTGTGGCGAACAATTGGATGCCACCCGCTTCAGTGGACTCGCTCACCACTCTGCCCCTGCACTGGTTCGACTTGTTCTACGTTTTCAGCGCCTGCAGCCTTTTCCTCAGCCCCTGGGAATGGCCCGATGCCGCTCCACGGCCACTGCTAGGACGAATCACAAACGGCCAGCCGCAACGGCCGCTTCTGCCAAACATTGTCTTGCAGTGAATGCCCTCAACCCCGCCCGCCCTCCGCGGCCACCCTCGAGTCCCTCTTCCTCTCGTGCTGCCATACAAATCGTATGTTTCGCCCAGGCTGTTCAAGCGCGCGAGCGGATTGCCTCTGCCGCGCCGCGACGGGAAAAGCGTACTCCGGGGGTGCGACACCACGGTGCAACGAAGACCGGTTTCCGTGGGGCCCCCTTGGGGCGTGGGGCTCCTGTGTTATCATAGGGCCTTCACTGGGCCGTCTGGGAACCTGCTGGAGCTCGCGTGGGTCGTATTGGAGCCACGTGGAGGCCTCTTATAACACAATTGGACCTCAGAGAGGCCCGAAGGGGCCCTCCCACGACTGATGTTAAGATGAGCCCAGCGAAAGGCCCTCTCTAGTGAGCCCTGACCTTGAACAAGGCGCGGCACATGCACAAATTGACCATCCCCTCAAGTCAGTACGGAGCAATGGCGATGTGAGAAGGCTTGGGCCGACTGGAAACAAATATCGGGTAGCTCCTGGCAGCCGTGGAGAGCGGCGATACAGAGCTCGGGGATATGCTCCTCCTCTGAGACAGGACAGTGCGGCAAAACTCGGCGCTCGGCAAGCCATAGCGCATCGAACATATTTTAAGACGACCATGGATGAAAAACCTGCGTGGGTAAGCTGAACGGGCCCCATGAGAGGTATAAACGGAGAACCAGAACTGATGCGAAAGAACGGTGTCCTTGATCCCTCATCGACAAACTCAAAGGCGGAACCAACATTTGAATGGCCTGTTTCAACAACAACCAACATAAGTTGAGGGGGGAAGGAGGTGGACTACGAGGAGGAGGAGGAGGAGGACGACAAGGAGGCGGACGAGGAGGAGGAGGAGAAAGTGTATGAGGAGGAGGATAAGGATGAGGATGAGGATGAGGATGAGGAGGAGGAGGAGGAGGAGGAGGACCCCCTCCAGCTCTGACTTATGGTGGTGGTAGTGGAAAACATGCCCATCAGCGGGGGGGCATGTCAGCCAAACGTTCAGGCAGGCCGTGGTAAACTGTTCCTGGGGTGTACTTGCACTGGCTCGGTGCCGCCGGGCAGCCGCCGAGCACCGTGGCGCTCGACCCGCCCGCCGGCCTGCGCGCGGCGCGCGCAGAAAATTCGGCCAGGCGCTGGCCCGCGCGCACCCCCGAAGGGACTGAGAGGGGGGGGAGGAGTGACGGGCAACGTTTAGGGGGGGGACCAGCTCCTCCTAGCTCCTCCTCCCCTCCCCTCCTCCTTCCTCCTCCTCCTCCTCCCCCTCCTCCTCCCCCCCATCCCCCTCCTCCTCCTCCTCCTCCTCCTCCTCCTCCTCCTCCTCCTCCTCCTCCTCCTCCTACTTCTCTGCCTCCTCAGGTGGGAAACATTCGAGCTGGAATCGGCGAAGCATTGCCGATGGATCGGCAACAGGCCCGGGATGGCGAATCCACACCTTTCTGGGCGGGGTGGGGCGACAGGGCTCCTGCATCGGCGATCAGCGGGCGAGTGGGGGTCGATGCGTCCCCTCCAAAGCCCATCCCCCCCAGACGAAGCCCCTGAAGGAAGGGTAGAGGGCAAAACATCCACCCCCATGATAACCACCTTGACAAGCGAGTCCGTCCAGTAAACGTACCCAAGAAAGGAATCGAACAGGGCAGGACTGTTTAATAAACGCCCAGGGCCGTTGTTGAGTAAACGCCAGTGATCGGGTCTGGTTGGCTTTTCTTCCCTTGAAAGGGGGCGCGGGAGCGCGGGGAAAGAGGCCCCGACCTCTCCCAGGTGCGTTCCGACTCGAAATTCCAAACGAATCCGACGGTGGTGGCAAGAGCCTCCCGAGAGGCCGACAAACATGGAGAACGAGGGAAGAATGGCGGCGCGGAGCGGGGCAGCGCGCGGAGAAGAGACACCGAGCCCCGCGTGCCAAAGATCGGGTGTCGGCGGCAGGCCCGCCTGCGGGTGCGGACTCAGACCGAGGCCGGGCAGGTGGGGCCGTTGTTGGGGCAGACCACCTGGGCGGCGAGAAGCACCGGGCCTCACGCGAGACGGCATGTACGGCAAGTTCGCGTCGTGCCGACCCTTGCTTTGGCTCCTGACACCACGTGGATCGCCCAACATTGATAGATCGGCGGCTGTCCGATAGCCGGATCGTTCCATACTGGCCGACTCTGAGAACCTGTTGGCACTCAACCTTGAACCTTGAGCGCCCGTGGCGGGGTCGCGGCGAGTCGACACGACGCGAACCTCCTGTAGAGCTGTAGAGGCCTTTGCGCTGCGGCTTCGGCGAGGGACCAACGTGGCACACCACGTGGAGAGGAGGGCGCCTGCGCGCTGCCTTACACGGGAACCTTGCGCGTGACTGTCCGCGCAAGCGACCACGTTTTCTTCCGTCGCTCGCCTGGCACTTGCCAACCTGGCAGAGCTGGGTGCCCCCGCAGTGCTTGGGGCTCGCCTGCGTGCCGCACTCCTCCGAGGTCGGGCATATGCCGGTGCCGGGGCAGACCACCTGGAAGCCCGTGCCACCTGTGGGCTCTGGACGGCAAGGCGTGATTCGGAAGCGGAAGCGGAAGCGGAAGTCTGCCATCGCCGCGGGGCGACCCCACAAGGGCAGCAGGCGCGCCAAACGCGCTGGCCTTCAGGGAGGCCAGGTTGCTGCACAGGTGAAACGTCGACGAAGAAGATGGATGGATGGAAGGGGTTCGTGAAGCGGGATTTGGCCAATCAGCTCAATAGCTGATGTTCCTGGCGCCTCCCGGCGCCGGGGGGCGCCAGTGTGCCGAGGAACGCGCACGGCAGCGGGGCCGAGACCAGCGGGGCCCGTAACTGACCCAAATGGGGTCGGAGTGGATGGGGTCGGGGGGTCGCACCGCATCGCCAACACAGAGATCCAGCGCATTGGAAAAATCAAGACGGAAGCTTTTTCCCCAAATTTCGGCGATGCATCGGCAGCGCATCAGCGGTGCATCCTCCCGCACCATCTGGGGGGCCCACAGACTTTCGCCCCGCCCAGACCTGGCTGGGGGATGTGGCAGTTCTGGGTCCCCTGGGCGCAGGCGCCGCCCGGCCCGGCCATCCCCTCTCGGGGCAGGGCGACTCGAGGCACCGGCGGCTCGAAGCCTCCGGCCCTGGCCCAGCCCCCCCCGGGGCCCAGACGCACCTGGGGAGACCAAAAGGTACCGATACCGCTGCTCCCGGACCTCTCCCGAGGCGCGATCTGACCAGGACTTCGATGCGAATCCGGGGGTGGCAACGAGGGCCGCCCTGGAGGCCCCAAGAAGGGAAAAACGAGGGAAGCGGTGCTCCCCGGACCTCTCCCGAGGCGCGATCTGACCAGGACTTCGATGCGAATCCGGCGGTGGCAACGAGGGCCGCCCTGGAGGCCCCAGGAAGGGAAACACGAGGGAAGCGGTATGGGTACCCTTTCCCCCTCGGAGCACCAGCCCCTCGAGCTGCGCCCAGCCGTGGCGGCGAAGACCCCCCCCCCCCGAAGTCCCACGCTCGCCGCGGCCTCGGCGTCGCCCTCCCCTCGGCCCCTCGGCCTCGAGGCGCCGCTCGCCCGCGGAGGCCGCGCCCAGCGCCGCCTGCTGCAGCAGCGCCGCCTCGTCCTGCTCGCATGCGGCGTCCTGCGAGGCGGCCACGGCCACCAGGGCGAGGAGGAGCGAGGCGCGCAGGGCCATCTGTCGCCGCGCGGCGGGAGAGCGGAGGCTCGGCGGCGCGCCGCCGGGGGGGAGAGCTCGGAGGAGGGGGAGAAGGAGGAGAAGGAGAAGGAGAAGGAGGAGGAGGAGGAGGAGAAAGTGGATGAGGAGGAGGATAAGGATGAGGATGAGGATGAGGTGGAGGAGGAGGAGGACCCCCTCCAGCTCTGATTATGGTGGTGGTGGTGGTGGAGGAGGAGGGGAGGAGGAGGAGGAGGGGAGGAGGAGGAGGGGGAGGAGGAAGAGGGAGGGAGAATGGAGGAGCAGGAGGAGGAGGAGGAGGAGGAGGAGAAGGAGAAGGAGAAGGATGAGGAGGAGGAGGAGGAGGAGGAGGAGGAGGAGGAGGAGGAGGCGGAAGGGGAAAAGGGGGGGCAGGGCCTCCTCGGAGGGCAGCGGGGCCTCCCAGAGAGGGGCTCTGCGCCAAAGGCCGGGGGCCTTCTGAGCCTCCTGAGAGGGCCGCCCCCCCCCCCCGGATCCCGCTCCCAGGGCGCGCCGCCGAGGCTGAGAGTCTCCCTTCTGCCTGCGGCCAGGACGAGCGCTCGAGCCCCCTTGAGCCAAACGTGCTACGGAATGCACGGGGGGCCGCCCTCGGGCGGCGCGTGGTCGGATCGATCGATGGCACGAGTGACCTTCGAACTGATCGAGCCGTGGACAGCCCTGCATCTTCAGCAGCCAAGACATGGCCCACGGACGGCCAATCAGTGCATAAGCCCCACGCCATTTCCAAACGCCCGTCGCGCCATGGCTGCTGAACGGGCCCCGACCCCCCAGCACAACGACAAGAACGGAACAGAACTGGAAGCGTCCGATTTGAGGACAGCACGACCCACCCCACCCGCAGCCATGCACCCCACTTCAGACTTGGTCATCTAGGGGGTCCTGGCTGGAGGTGGGGTGGCTTCCTGCGGCGTCCAGCCCCTGCCCCCGGCCAGGACCTCCTGGATAACAAGGTCGGGAGTGGGCGCCCTGGCTGGGGGTGGGTTGTGCTGTCCACTCCCACCCCTCCCTGTCTCTGTGTGGGGCCAGCGATCATCGGGGCTGGCCGCGTCTGGTTATCGTAAGCAGGTGCCGTATGTATCTCAACTGGGGTCAATCTCACTGCGCGATTGTCCGAAGCCCTGCCCAGAGAGCCGCCCATCAGCCAGAGCAAGGGCCCCGGGGGGTCCAACCTCGACTCGTCAATCCTTCCCGACTCCAAGGTCTTGTTGCGACGACGTCGGCCCTGACTTACGACACCGCCTGCTCCGTTCAACCCTGTTTGAGCGACCTCCAATCTCGGAGGACCGCAAGGCCCTCGTATTTCGCATGTATCTCCTGCCTATCGGGGGTTGTTTCCTCCGTGCCCAGGGGCCCAAAAAGGACCACCTGCGGGCCTCCAGCCCCGAGTGCCCGCGCAGGCGATGCCACAGCGTGGAGGCGGCGCGAACCTGCCAACTCCTCCTCCTGCTCATCCTGACCAGTCCGTTGGGCTGCGCCCGCCATTGCCACGAGAAACTCCCCACAAGCCCCGTTAACAATCGAAGAACTTCGTCCTGAGGCGTCACTGCCGTGTCTTTCCAGTGGGAACGGGTGCTGGATCCCCGGGCTTTCCCCAGGACCGGCTTCTCGTCCGAGGCGGAGGGATGGCCCTGAGAGCCCGAAAGCGGCAAACCGCCTTCCAGGACCCCCGATGACGACCCCGAGAAGTCCGCCGCTGGAACTTCTCCCAAAGGGGAGCGTGCTGGCCAAAACCCTGATAGGAATCCAGCCACGACGACGAGAAACCTCGCTGGAAGCCCACCGAAACCGCCAAAAACTTGGGCTTGGGCCAACGAACCCGACCGGGACCGACTTCCGTCGGCGACGAGCGAAGGGGGTAAGTGAGAAGGGGACGGCCTTCTCAAAGGCGGCGGGGCTTCTGAGAGGAAGTGTTTTTTCCTACTCTTTCGGGGACAGGCTTCGAACACTTCTCGGAAGGCCGGGGGACTCCCGAGCTTTCTGACAAGGCCCGCCCATTCGCACTTCCCCCAGGGGAGCCTACGTAGAATCCGCCGACCCCGTGTGGGTCTCTAGGCGTGTGAGATTCTCCCCCCCCCATACCCCACCCCCCTGGGGACCCCAAACCGGCAATTTGACCCCCCCCCCCCGGGGCCCGGACGGCCCACCCCCGAACTCACCAGGGGCGATCCAGGCTCCGCAGGCTCGGTCTGGAGCTCCACGACACCCCGTCAAGCTCCCAAGACACCCCCAAGACGGTCCAAGTGAGCCCAGACTCGCCGAATGATCGATCCAAGATGCCCAAGAAGCCGCGAAGACACCCCAAGAGGCATCCAAGAGGCTTCCAAGGAAGCACAAAAGAAGCCCAAATGGTCAAACTCTACTGAGAAAACATACGCGTATACACGACTTTTCGGCCTGCGCGGAGTTGAAGAACATCCAAGAGGCATCCAACCAAAACCGCCCCACGACGGCCCCAAACCCTCCCACGAATCCCCCAAGACGGCCCCAGAGGGCTCCAAGCCGGCCTCAGAGGCGCCCAAGACGGCCCAAAAGTGTCCCCACCATGCCCCAGACAAGGCCCAAGATGGGAACCTCGAACCGAACATGTTGATTTTCCGCCAGAAGAAACTCCCAGGAAGCCCGAAGAGGCCCCCGAGAGGGCCTAAGAGGCCCCCAAAAAGGAACCCAAAAGCCCCCAAAGGCCCCCAAGAGGCTCGAAGGAGACCCCAAAACGGCCCCCTAGAGCCTTCGAAACTGCCTCCAAGAGGCTCGCGAGAAACCTCGCCACGAGATCCCAACAGATAGGTTAGGCTTCATACCCACAGCCCAGGCACAGCGGCCGGATGGGCCGAAAGCCACGAGACACTCTCACGGACTCCAGCCGTAGCGACAATGCCACCCCAGGCAGTCCGATCCACCGCCTCTATAATTATTTCCTTCCCCTGGCCCCCAAACAGAAACATCGACCAACTCCATCCCTTTCTATCATTCCCTCCTCTTCCTGTTTCCCGTGGCGTAGCCCTCGGGAACCCGCCTAGGAGCCCAGACGGCCTGGGAAGAAATCGTGAGCCAAAGAAGGGTGGTCTCGGAGAGTGTGCCGACCCGGGGCCCGGGCCGCCAGTACCACAGCATACTACATACGTGGGCCTCCTGTCCTCCCATCGCGTCCAAGACAGCTCAAAAGACCCCCACATGAAATGCAAGAGGGCCCAAAGGCCGCGGTTTCCAGAGAAGACCTGGGAAACGGTATCTCGGCAAACAAAACATAAAAAGGACAGATGTGGCGTAAGCCTACATAATCGAAGCGAACCAAAAGATATCGGATCGGAGGAAATCGGCAGCCGAGTCGGGAAAAGTCGAATCAGCGGAAATCGGCAAGCTAGGCCTCCAAAAAGAAATCGGAGCCCAAATCAGCATCCCAAGTCGAGTAGAATCGGAATCGAATCAAATCGTAGGAACGGAACTGAGCCCTGCTTCCCCCCACGGCTCGCCGCCGATTCCGTTCATCGCGGGCCGCAGCCTCCCAACCCTGGCTCCCAGGCGCCGATACTCCGCGAATGCTGTGCCGAAACCTCCCTCTGGAGACCGCCAAAACACGGGGCCGGAGCAGGCGGGGTCGGAGGCTCGCGCCGCAGCGCCGATGCATCGGCGATGCACCAACAAGGTCGGGGCGACGAAAACGCGAGCACGGATCGCGCCGCAGCGCCGATGCATCGGCGATGCACCAACAAGGTCGGGGCGACGAAAACGCGAGCACGGATCGCGCCGCAGCGCCGATGCATCGGCGATGCACCAACAGTAGCACGGATCGCGCCGCAGCGCCGATGCACCGGCTATGCACCAACACGGTCGGGACGACGACCACCAAGCATGGATACGAAAACGCGACCACGGATCGCGCCGCAGCGCCGATGCACCGGCTATGCACCAATACGGTCGGGACGACGACCACCAAGCATGGATACGAAAACGTGACCACGGATCGCGCCGCAGCGCCGATGCACCGGCTATGCACCAACAGAGTCGGGACGACGAACACCAAGCAGGGATACGAAAACGCGAGCACGGATCGCGCCGCAAAGCCGATGCACCGGCTATGCTCCATCAGGGTCGGGACGACGAACACCAAGCACGGATACGAAAACGCGACCACGGATCGCGCCGCAGCGCCGATGCACCGGCCATGCACCAACAAGGTCGGGACGACGACCACCAAGCACGGATACGAAAACCGACCACGGATCGCGCCGCAGCGCCCATGCACCAGCTATGCACCAACAAGGTCGGGACGACGAACACCAAACACGGATACGCAAACGCGAACACGGATCGCTCCGCAGCGCCGATGCACTGGCTATGCACCACCAAGCACGGATACGAAAACGCGAGCACGGATCGCGCCGCAGCGCCGATGGATGCATCGGCTATGCTCCAACAGGGTCGGGACGACGAACACCAAGCACGGACACGAAAACGCGAGCACAGGTCGCGCCGCAGCGCCGATGCATCGGCTATGCACCAACAAGGTCGGGACGACGAACACCAAGCAATTACGAACACAGACCACGGATCGCGCCGCAGCGCCGATGCATCGGCCATGCACCAACAAGGTCGGGAAGACAAACACCAAGCACGGATACAAAATCGCGAGCACGGATCGCGCCGCAGCGCCGATGCATCGGCGATTCACCCGCGAGGTCGGGGCGACGAAAACGCGACCACGGATCGCGCCGCAGCGCCCATGCATCGGCTATGCACCAACACGGTCGGGACGACGATCACCGAGCACGGATACGAAAACCGACCAGGGATCGCGCCACAGCGCCGATGCATCGGCTATGCACCAACAAAGTCGGGACGACGATCACGGATACGAACGATCACGGATCGCGCCGCAGCGCCGATGCATCGGCTATGCACCACCACGGTCGGGACGCCGAACACCGAGAACGGATACGAGAACCGACCACGGATCGGCGATCGGCCGCAACACCGATGCATCGGCGACGCTCCAGCGAGGTGGGGACGACGAAAGCCGCAACGCAGCAACGCCGATGCATCGGCGATGCGCCAACGAGATCAGAACGACGAAAACGCAAGCACGGATCGCGCCGCAGCGCCGATGCGTCGGCGATGCACCAGCGAGGTGCTACCCCGAAGAGCTCCCGGGCAGCCAACCCCCGCGGCAGGGGCGGGTTCGGGGCGCGGAAGGGGGGGGGTCCTGCTCTGGTCGTGCCCGCCCGGGCCGTCGTGGCACTGGCCCTGGCCCGCGGGGGGGGGGGAGAGGTGCGGGGAGGGGGGGGGTGGGGCAGACGACGTGGGGAGGAGGGAGGAGGAGGGGGGAGGACGACGACGACGACGAGGAGAACGAGGGAGAGAAGACGGCGATGGAGGAGCACGGGGAGCGAGGGGTTAGGATTAGAGAGGAGGATGGGGAGGATGGCGTCAGACGAAGTGGCGACGGGGAGGCGGCCAAGGAGCGGGGTGACGGCAATGGGAAGGAGGATCGCAAGGGAGAAGAATACTGAGGAAGGCGATCGTGAATGAGAAGGGGGAGGATGAGAAGGAAAAAAAGGAAAGAGGGACGATGGACGAGTGGGGCGGGAAGAGGAAAGTTGTCGGGAAGAAGGATCTGGAGGATGAGGTACGGGAGTTGGGGTGGACGTGTGGCGGGGACAAAACATAAGACAAAGCGAGTGGGA